TTTCCAATTTCCTGGACTTTGATTGCACATGGGGACCTCATGGACCTTGCCTTTGTAGTGTGCATAACAGAAGGGGTCAATGCCAGGGTCCTATCGTACATTGCCACTACTGGAGGCACACAGGGTGGGAAGGCCACGTGTGTCCTGGCCAGCAGGAGCAGCCAGGCATTTATAGTGGACATTAGAACAGGTGGTGAGAGTTTATATGCTTGGAAACTGCAAAGAAGTATGTAAAGTAGTAACATAGGACACTTTATATAATAGAAGATATAACTAACATTACACATGGTATATAACAGCATATAATTACACACACCAAAAATGCCAAAGGGAAATTTTAAAATGCTTGGAGGGAAGTTCAGAGATAGGACAGGGACACTTTGAACATTGAGCTTTAAGGTGAATTTTGAGGGTGCTGCCACAAAATCCCAAGGTAAGCAACAGTATATCTGAAGTCAGGCAAGGGGGGATTTATTTTAGACTCACACTTTTGTTTTACCTTTTTTTGCTTATTTGTTTTGATACTGGGAATTGAACTCAGGGGCACTCAACCGCTGAGCCACATCCCCAGCCCTATTTTGTATTTTATTTAGAGACAGGGTCTCACTGAGTTGCTTAGTGCCTTGCCTTTGCTGAGGTTGGCTTTGAACTCCTCCTGCCTCAGCCTCCCAAGCCACTGGGATCACAGGCGTGCGCCAGGGCGCCCTGTTTACTTATTTCCATTGGAGTACAGAAGGTAATATAAACCAGGCGTGGTGGTGCACACCTTTAACCCCAGCAGCTCAGGAGGCTGAGGCAGGAGGATGGTGAATTCAAAGCCAGCCTCATAAACTTAGTAAGGCTCTAAGCAATTCAGTGAGACCCTGTATCTAGACAAAGTATTGAAAAAAAAAATGGGGATGTCGCTCAGTGATTAAGCACCCCTGAGTTCAATCCCTGATACCAAAAAAAAAAAAAGTAATATAAGAGTCATCATCCTCAGTTTGGAGCGGGTGCAGAGGCAGGACAATCACAACTTGGAGGTCACCCTGGGCAATTTAGCTAGACCCTGCCTCAAAATAAAAAGGCCTGGGATGTAGCTCAGGATTCAATCGGCAGTACCCCCGCCAAAATTTTAATCATTTTTAAGTACACCCAGCTCCTTGAGAGTCTAAAGCAGGGAATTCAGAGTTTGAGGCCAGACATAGCCAAACCCTGTTTCAAACACAAACAAAAAAAAAATCTATATTTTTGACGCTGTTACCGGGAGGCACCGCTCTGCGCTGCAGGCGTCTTGCCACCAGGTGGCGGCAGTGTAGCACAGCTCAGAGCGGGTCTGCCGGCTCCAGGGTGGTTCTCAGCCGCCGTCCTTCCCTCCCCTATTCCCCACCGTCTTGATATCTGAAATTAAGGCTCTGGAGGGTGGGAGTGAGATTTTTAAAAACAGCAGATATGAGATCATTCTGACCTTCATGGCATTTCTTTCTTTTCTTCCTCTTTTCTGCAGCGTTGGGCGGAGCAGGGGGCTTCCCGCATGCCAAGCCCGCGGACCACCCCTGAGCTCACAGGCCAGAGACCCAACTGCCCGGGCGAGCTGTCCTTCCTGAACATCTTGTCATGAAGGGCAAGGGGTTGGCATGGAGAGATTCTGGGCAGACCTTTAGGAAACATCTTTCAGCCTCTCCATGTAGCCTTTGACTAGAGTCTTTGGGCCTCCGTTTCCTTATGAAGGCTGCTAGGCCACAGAAATCCTATCCAAGAGATCTGTGAGCTTTGCTTCTGTTAGCCTGACTGTGTCACTTAATTCTCATGCTCAGCAGGGACCTCAAGAGAATGGAGGCGATTTTGCCACCCTTAAAATATATTACAAGTTATGTGATTTTTAGTTATGGAAGACTGATCTGGTGGCCTTCCCAAGAGATGCCGAGTGGTTGGGGGTGTGGTAGTGGTGGGGCGCTGGCCCAGCATGCAGGAGGCCGGGGGTTCCATCCCCAGCTCCGCACACACACACACAAACACAGAATGAAATGCCAGGCTTAATAGCAGGTGTTGTGACCAAGTCAGGGAAGTCGGTGGAAAACGTCCACTTCCCCAGAATGCAGAAGGCCACCGAGAAACCTAGAGGTGGAAGCTGTGTCATGTCAAAGAGTTTGAATATGTAATTTGAGTGTAGTAGGTTAAAATATGTCCCCAGAGTCTTTGATGGTCTTTCCTTCAAAAGAAGAGCCTAAAGGGCTGGGGATGTGGCTCAAGCTCATGCGTGCGGCCCGGGTTCGAGCCTCAGCACCACATACAAACAAAGATGTTGTGTCTGCCGAAAACTGAAAAATAAATATTAAAAAAATTCTCTCTCTCTCTCTCAAAAGAAGAAGAAGAAGAAGAAGAAGAAGAAGAAGAAGAAGAAGAAGAAGAAGAGCCTAAGGCCTGGAGGTAGAGCACCTGCCTAGCACACCTGAGGCCCAGGTTTCAATCTCCAGTACAGCAAAAAGAGAAAAAAAGAAGAATCTTAGCCAGGTGTGATGGCACGTGCCTATAATCCTAGTCACTCGGGAGACTGAGGCAGGAGGATTGCATGTTCAAGGACAGCCTGGGCAATTTAGCAAGACCCAGTATCAAAATAAAATAAAAGGGGCTGGGGATGTGGCTCAAATGGTAGTGCGCTCGCCTGGCATGCGTGCGGCCCGGGTTCGATCCTCAGCACCACATACAAACAAAGATGTTGTGTCCGCCGAAAAATAAAAATATTTTAAAAAATAATAATAAAATAAAATAAAAGGAGCAGAGCGTGGTGGTGCACGCCTGTAATCCCAGTGGCTCAGGAGGCTGAGACAGGAGGATTGGGTGTTCAAAGTCAGCCTCAGCAACTTAGCAAGGCCCTAAGTAACTTAGTTAACTAAGTAACCCCGTCTCAAAAGAAAAAATAAAAAGGGCTAAGGATGTGGCTCAGTGGCTAATTGGTTCAATCCAACAAATAAAATAAAAGGGCTGTGGATGTTGCTGGGTGGTAGAGTGCTTGCTCTGCATGAGCAAGGCACTGGGTTCAAACCCCAGTACTGCAAGAAAATTAAAAAATAAATAAATAAATAAAACAGGGTTGGGGTTGTGGCTCAGTGGCAGAGCACTTGCCTTGCATGTGTGAGGCACTGGGTTCGATTCACAGCACGGCATATGAATGAATATATTAAAAAAATAAAGGTCCATTGACAACTAAAAAAAAAAAAGCAGAGCCTAACTCCTTTCCCTTACACATGAGCTGGTCTTAGTGACTCATTTTTAGTGACTAGAATTTGGTGCAAGTGACCATGGGTGACATCTGAAATTGGCACATACAAGCCTTTGTAGCTTCAGACTTTCTCCGGGATCCCTCACTCTGAGAGAAGTCGGCGCCCGGTCATGAGGACGCTCCAGAGTTCCAGGGGCAGGTAGGTCCACATGGAGAGGAACGTGGTCTCCTGTCAACAGCCATTGAGTGAGCCACCCTGGACCAGGATCCTTCCTCCCAGACGATGCCCTGGCTGCCGCCACTTGAGAGACCTTGAACCAGAACACCCAGCTGAGCCGCTCCTGGACCCTGGTCCACAGGAGCCGTGAGACGATACATGCTTGCTGTCCTGCCCTGCTGGGGAAGGGACCCAGGACCTCGTGCACACCAAGCGAGTGCCCTGCCACGGAGCTGCACCCCAGCCCCATGTCTGTTGTTTTCGGCTGCTAAACTTTGGAGTCACTTGTTATATGCAGCGGTGGGTGCCTGATACAGTCAGGTCTCGGGGTTTCCTGGACAGGAGTTCCTCCTGAGCTATGTTCTTCATGGCTGGGTGACTTCTTGCCGTACTTTCAGAGATAAAATGATCTTTAGAAATAGAGTCGAGTTGAAAGTACTTACCTGATGACTTGAATACAGAATGAGACCATACATCAGGTGCACAATTATACAATTGCGTTGGGAGTCACAGAGGACCCGCGATGAGTTGAGGCAGCCTTAGCCACATCGCTGCTTCAAGGGTTCCCCCTACATGGGTGGCTCTGGGCTTTGTCTCTAGCCCACACCTTCCCTCTGAGGCTGGAGGTGGGGGTCCACCTGCTTGCTTGGTACCTCTTTAGAAGGGGAAGCATCTCAGCATCTTCCCTGACCTAAACTGGGGTCTTTCCTCACAACCAGGTTCTCTTCCAACTTGGCCCTTTGCTCTGGTTTGGAGAAATGTCTCCCGTAAGCCCGTGTGTTGGAGGCTTGGTCCCCAGGGCAGCACCTGGGTGGTGGTGGAACCTTTAAGCAGCGGGGTCTGGTGGGAGGTCCATAGGTCACTGGGAGCAGATCCTCAAAGGAGATTGTGAGACACTCCTCCTTCCTCTCTCCCTATGTTGCTTCCTGCCATGAGGTGAGAAGTTTTACTCTGCCACACGCTCCCACCATGATGTGCTGCCTCTCCACAGGCCTAAAGCAACAGGGTAAATCAATCCTGTGCTGGAAGCTCCAAAACTGTGGGCCAAAATTTTTTCTTTATAAGTTGATTACCTCAGGTACTGTGTTATGGCAATGCAAAGCTAACACATCTATTCCAGTGAATGGTGCCAATGTCCTCTAGAAACACACACCAGAAGTCTAGGAGTCACCTGGATAAGCTCTCCTCTCCTCCTGCCCATTCCCTTTCCTGTTCATTTCCCTGAGTGTCCCCATCACTTCTCTCTCCATTACCATTGTCCTGGTCCAGGCTCCCATCCTGTCTCACCTGGATTACTTCCCTCCGGCTCTTCCCCCTGACTTCTCTGCTCCAGTCCTAGTGGCCTCACTTCAGTCCTATGAAGATCCAAGCTTCCTTCTGCCCCAGGACCTTCAGACTCGCTCTTCTGTCTTCTTGGGTCTCTCCTTTCCCTTCCCATTGCCCGATAGCACCTACTCCTTCTTCAAGTCTCCCACCAATGAGAACCGTCCCCACCGGGCCAGGTCAGTTGCCCTCCCAGCCTCTCCTAACTTCATCCCAATGGATATTTTGATTCATTTCCACCTCTCCGTATGTTCACAGCTGCGTCTCAGTGCCTGGCATGGAGGAGGGGCTCAGTCCTGGGGAGTGAACAGGTAAGTAAATGTCACCCCCTTGGATCTTCAGAACACCCCCGTGAGGTTGGGGAAAACCTGAATAAACCCTCTAGCTTCACTTACGCTATTCTATTGTCACTTCAGTAACTTGCTTTGACCACCTACTTTAGAGGTCCCACGGCTGGTGCGCTCCCACAGCACCCCTGACGGAGGGCCCCGTGGACAGGCTGCCTGAGTGGTTTTTCAGGAACCTGGAGGGAGCTCAAACTGGTTGAACCACCAGCCCCCACTTGGGCCTGTGCAAGTGTCCTTGGGTGCACTCGGGAGCCCCACACCGTTTGCCGAACACGTATCCTGTGCGATGGCTTCCTTCACTGCCCCTGCCTGCAGCGACCTCCCCACTTGGCTTCCTTATCCCAGGAATACCCCTAAACCCCTCCTGGGAGGCGGGTTGGAGACTCAGGTCTCGGGTCTCCTCCCCCTCTACTCTCGGTGAATCCACTCTTCCTCTTTTGCCAAACTTGTTTCAGTGACCGGCAGCTGGGGAAACTCAAGCTGACCACTACCAAGGTCACCTAGACAGAATCTGAACACCCCTCCTGCTGACTCAGAGGCGACCCCACCTATCCCTTTGTAGTGTTGCTCAAGAACCTTTCTCTTATCTAAATTGATTTTTTAAAAATTTTTTAGTTGTAGTTGGACACAATATTTTTATTTTATTTATTGTTATGTGGTGCTGAGGATCAAACCCAGGGCCTTACACACTCTAGGCGAGTGCTCTGCCTCTGAGCCACAACCCCAGCCCCCAAATTGCATTTTTTTTTAACTTCCTTTTTTAAAAATATTTATTTTTCTTTTTAGTTGTAGTTGGACACAATATCTTTGTTTTTATTTATTTATTTTTATGTGGTGCTGAGTTTTGAACCCAAGGGGCTCGCACACGCTAGCAAGCACTCTACCACTGAGCCACAACCCTAGCCCCTTAACTTCCTTTTATATAATCTGAAACCTTCCTGAGATTCTCAAATTAAGAGAAGAGGATTTGTGTGTGTGTGTATGTGTGTGTGTGTGTTTGTGTTTGTATGTGTGTGTTGCTGGGGATCAAACCTGTGTGCTGTCTAAATGTCCTACCACTGAGCGACCTCTTCAGCCCTTATATTTTATTTTGAGACAGGTTCTCTCTGAATTGCCCAGGCTGACCTTGAATTTTTGATCTTCTTGCCTTGGACTCTCAAGAAGCTGGAATTACAGGGGTGCTTCCGTGTCTGGTTGGTTGATCACTGGATATTTTAAGAATTATCAGTAAATTGCATGTGATCTGATTAGGCCAGGGAAAATTGTTTTTGTCATATTGTCGAGGGGCTTAATGTTCAGTGAGTACACAGAACATTTGCACAGGCTGTTCACTGAGCAAGGACTCCTGGCCAAGCCGGTGGGGGTTGGGAGTAGAAATGAAGCCCATGTTCTGCAGGTCAACCTGCACCCTGCTGTGAAGCCATTTTTCTCCAGAGGTGGGAGTCTTTCCAACCTGTACCAAGGCACCATTCACTCATCCAGCTGGGTGCCCAGAGGAGGTGGGCTGCATCTGCCCTGAGAAGCTGTATTTTTCAAGTTCATACAGGGTGGTGTATGGGCCATGAGGTCCTGGATTATGGCCAGCCTACCTGTGCTGGGCTCAGGGGTCATTCCAGGTAAACTGAGCTAACTGGGCTGCACAAAATAACCACACAAGAGACAAAAATACCTTTTTTATATAAAAAAATTAGTTACAGATGGACACAATATCTTTATTTTATTTATTTATTTTTATGTGATGCTGAGGATCAAACCCAGCACCTCACGCTTATGAGGCAAGTGCTCTACCACGGAGCTACAACCCCAACCCCACAAATACTTTTTTCACTGGGGTCTCTGTGACAGCTCCTCTGACCTTAAGGGTCCACAGAAAGTGAGAGAGCGAGAGCAGCGCTGACCCCTTTTATTGAGGAGAAGCTATTCAAATGAGGCAAGGGGTCAGGTTTCAGGGGGCTGAGTCTATCTTCATGATGTCCACTGTCAGCAGGTTGACTGACACCTGGGCAGGCCACACCCAAGGCACAGTAAGAGGAGGGGACACACACAAGGCACTTCCATGGAAGATTCTATTCTAAACAGGGCAAGGGGTTATGAAGGAACAGGTGAGCATAGCTTCACCCATGGGGCTGTAGCAAGACACACCCATGCACAAGACACCGACCCTCAGACCCAAGAAGGGTGGGGAAAGCTCTGCCACATTTCTGTGACTGAGCACCTCAGCACCCAGCCGGGGAGTGTGACTCAGTCACGTGCAAGGTTGGTCTCCCACATATTCCCCCTTTCTTAATATATATATAAAAAAAATGCAACTGGGAAATTCTATCTTTCAGTCACTTGACTCTTGGTCCAAGGTCATCACCATCTGCTATTGAAACACAAAAGGAATTAGTAGAAAACATATCATCTTCATAACACAATCAACTTGGAAGATCCAGATTATTATTACTTCATCAAACACTCATCAGAAGATTCTTAATCTTTTCCCAATTTTATTGGGAGGCATTGCGTTTGGCTGTAGTAGCAGACATTTTCATTGGCATGGCATTTAGGCCTCTCCATAAACCACAGAGCAAAGGGCTCGCTCACATTATTCATTACATTGTCTTCTAGAGCATCATTTCTTAGTTCTCATCCTTCCATCAGCACTTATCTGACCATGAAGGATTTTTGGAAGTAATTTAAGTCAAACATTAAGAAAATCCATACATTGTAAGTTTTAAGACATAGCCACAAAGGATATAATTGAAAAAGCAATGAATAAAGTAGTCACTTTAGGGATTATGAGATCAGCAGTTTGCCTAGGTCTGGTTAATTGACATACACCTGTTTTAAAGCCTGAATATTAACTTTAGCATATTATAGCTCTGAAATATTAGCTGGCAATAACTAACGATACAATAAGTTATATTCTTACAGGCCACAGGATATTTATCATCCTTTCTCTTAACTCTCACATTTAAGGAGTTTATTAGGTCTGTCAGTAATATAAACACTCTTGGAAAAATCTATTTTAATAATCTTTCCAACAATTGTCCATACAGGTAAATGTAGTCTTAGTTATTAAAGTCCAGCATAATTGGCTGGCTTAGGTTCCTCATCTGCGGTCTTGCATATGTTCCTGTCACTGATGTGGTCAATAAGTTGTTTGGCTACCTCAGTCGTGGGGGGTAGAGACGTGGAATCAACACACAGACTCTGGGAGCTGGTGAGAACTGGCTGGTGACAAACCTCAAGTGGACATCCAGTAGCTCAGTTCATTTTTGGAATGCACACAACCGTTATAGGGTTTAAGTGGGGCGTGCCCGTCAATCATACATAAGGAAGACAAGATCCATCAACCAATCATCTTCTGCCTAATGTAACCTCACTGTGAGGAAACTCTAAATATTGCTGTCGTGGTGGAAAACAATCTGGAAGGGTCTTTGTCCCTAAGGGAAGGTGCTTACTGAGTCTGGGATTTCATGCCCTGAAGCCCCCCTAAAGCTGAGACACACAGATAGATGAAGAGGAGAGCAGTGCTAAGACTCAGGGCAGATCCCTCACAGAGAACTGGCCCTTAGTTGGTGCTACTCACACCTGGTCCATAGCCGCCATCCATACAGATGCAGAAGAGTCCGTTATTTCAACACTTTTTCTCAAAAGATACTTCCAGACAGCCTGTTTACCATAGAGTCAATATATAGGTATAACAGACCATTACAGCCAGGACAATTAATCTAGTTTCATGGGTGGACTTTCCAGTCCACACTGCAAGACACATTAAAGGTAGATCTGAGAAATGGGTCCGTACAAGGCTTTTCATAATCTGTACTTACCTGACAAGCTTGTGAAGCTGCATGGCTGTAAACTCTGTAGCTGGAAATTGACCTTCCTGTGCCAGGTTTCTCATGATGACTGGTTTAAACTCTCCTTTGATATCTGATTTAATTCACTGAGTCGTGTTCAGTAACATTAAGACTGTCAATATGACAATTTAAGAAAAAAATTTAAAATATTTTGTAAAATCTAGTGTGTTTCTCTGAGGTCCTGTATTCCCCCTTTTGTTTATTTAATAAAATTGAGGGGGCTGGGGATGTGGCTCAAGCGGTAGCGCGCTCGCCTGGCATGCGTGCGGCCTGGGTTCGATCCTCAGCACCACATACAAACAAAGATGTTGTGTCCGCCGAAAACTAAAAAATAAATATAAAAAAAATTCTAAAAAAAAAAAAATTGAGTAAAGGCTTGGCACAAGTCATAGCATCATTAGTTTAAGTTATAGATAATAGTACAAGTATTTAAATGATAAGAATAGATTTATCTTGTATTGATTATTATATATTTTTTAATACAGACTAGTTGATCCATACAAACAATTTAGAAGGAACTCTTAATCTCTTTTTGAGAGGAGGTCTCAAAATATCTTTATATTTTAGAATATTATCTTTTAAATAGGTATCTGTTAATTGTCTTTAAAAAATATAATTAAGAGGCTGGAGATGTGGCTTAAGTGGTAACGCGCTTGCCTGGCATGCGCAGGGCTCTGGGTTTGATCCTCAGCACCACATAAAAATAAATTAAAGATGTTGTGTCTGCTGAAAACTGAAAAATAAATATTAAAAATTCTCTCTCTCTCTTTAAATAAAAAATTATATATATATATATTTATTTATGATTAAGGTTATTTCCCAGCATAGGGAGCACTATATAAATCTTACTGTATTTTTTATGGTCAATAGGTTCAGCCAGAGAACTTATATAATATGAATGAATTTTTAAAGTTTGTAACCTTTATTGCTCAAAAGTAACATACAACTTTAATTTGAAGAACCTCAGTTCTAATAAATTTTTTTTCAAATCCCATATTATCTAACAAACAAAATGTAAGAATCAACAGTGTCTCAGTGTCTTAGAATCAATCAAATTTAGTCTCAAAGGACAATTGTCAAAATTGGGATCTAAGATAGCAGTTTAATATACTTAGTGTTTAATCAACGATGTGAATTTATTTACCAAAATGAATCTTTGTCTTAAACAGCAAGAATCATTAGGCAATAAAGACCTTTCTTTAAGGAAATGAACTTAACATTTTAATAGGTTTTTATCATGTCAAAATATGGACAAAATCTTGGCTCACATCAGTATAGTAAAATCAGAAAAATAGCCTGAAATATCTTTGAATTAATCAGTTAAAATTTTTATATTCAGTCCAGTATATATAAATCTCTTTTTTAATTTGTTCTAACTTTTTATATCATCTGTTTAGATAATAACTTAAAAATCTTTTTATTTAGGAAAATACTTTTATCATTGAAATCTAGAATATAAAGACCTTGTTTTACCCAAAGATGATTTCTTTTTCTTTTTCTTTTTTTAGGATCCAATGTGTGCTTTCTCTCTGTTGAAGCATCTTTTTCTTCTAGAATTTTTTTAGTTATACTTTGGAACAATTTCTGAAAACCTTAGAATCTATAAATAAATTATTGTACTTTGATAAGAAATATCAATGAAAATATAGTTAAAATTTTTAGATATTTCTGCAGACAAAATTAGTTTTGTTTATCATCTTATAAGTTTGTACAGTAACTTGAGAATTAGAAACTACTTGAAGATTGTATTTTTTCTTAAAAGCATTTATAGTAAACACATTTATCTCAAATATCTGTATCTAAAAGGCAGAGTATTAGATAAATGTAAGTTTAAAACATATAAATTATGAGTTTTCTGTTGAAGAAAAACAATTAGACAAATATATATTAACTAAACAATTAGACATAGGTGCTAATTATTTTAGATTAACAACTATAGGTTATCTAAATATCTAGAAAAATATATATTGAGAATAAGGACATAACTTATAATTGTATTAACTTTACGTAACCACATGATTCTTAAAATACTTGGATCCATTTCAATTTATTTTTACTTAGGAGTACACTCTTATATGTGACGTCACTTGATGTAACTGAAATAAGATCCTTGTGCATATATATTTATTTTTTATAGTCAGGGATGAGAATAAGGATTTTGGGGTCATCACAGGAACATTGCCGGCTTTTGTTCCTGTGGCGAGCAAATGCAGCCACACAACCTCCAGAATTAAAAGTAAAATACAAAGAAGCATGTTTAGTATCTTTCATCAATAGAACATTATTTAGTAACACCACTATAAAGAAAAGTCAGGTTATTTAACTCAAAACTAACTT